CACTTATCATCATGCCGATTGCTTGTCCCCAGTCCAATTTAGGTGCCGTCAAGAAAATCACATCGGGCCAAAAGAGAGAACGGGGCGTATAGAGATAATCGGAACTGGCCACAATCAGATACTTGGCACTTTCATATCTAAGGGATCATAAGCTGCAAACAGGCCGTCGCCTATTGGGGCCTTCAGTTTCCCATATCTCTTGTCATCTCCATCCACCGTGGTCGTTCGGGGGTAGTCCCTCGAATATTCGCCAGGCGTCTGACCGGGTGGTTTAGCAAACTGCCTGTACATCTTGTGATGCTTGTTATTAGGCTTGTTATCTGCCTGAAACTTGCCCTTGCGAGCAGGTGGCGTCAGTTCCCGGGCTCTCTGTCGGACGTCCGTAAGAGACCTGGTATTCAAAGGTCCAAAGGTATTGTCCTGAGGCAACCCATTCAAGTCTGCGTACTGGAGCGTAGTCGTGGAACTGAACTAGCAGCCAATCCACGCCCGGTATCCGATATAGTCGCGACACTGTGGGACTTTCTCCGCCCATCATTTTCATTGCGTCCTCCCGACACGTCAGGGTATTCATGTTCAACTTTGTGGTTATGTCCGTCTTGTACTGTCCCCAATGACTAGGGTCTGATCGGTTCCAGAGCAGCACACTGCCTGGTTCAACTCAGCACACTGCCTGGTAAAAAGCAGTGATGATTCAGAAACAGATCAATAAAACTTAGTCTTAAAGAAAAAGACTTCCATCAATCGGAACGATCCGAAAGAACAAAGCCCAGGACACAGTCTTCTCAAGTGAGTGTGTATTTGCCTAATACACCCACCGAGGTCTTCTTTTAGGTGTCCTGCGATTGCCCGAGCTGTCCTATTAAGTAGCTCAAGGCAACCTCTGATCGAAAATTTCTTAAGTCTAAGAAAAAGCTCCCCCACACCCGGACTGCTCCAAGTGCACGAGAGTAGGGAACAACTTTTCTTCTCAAGTGAGTGTGTATTTGCTTAATACACTCACCGAGGTCTTCCTTTATTTGTTCCCGGATTGCCCGAACTTTCCTATTAAGTAGCTCAAGGCAACCACACAACCAAAATCACAATCAAAAAAAAATTTTGTTCGGGTACTCCTGATACACCCGATCTAGAATCCAAAGTTGATCACGAATTTCCGGGTCAAAATGGGCTCCTATGATCCTTATAAGCACGCCTAATATCCTAATATGATCTTTATTAAATGGATATTTCCCGTCTCCCAAATTGCCACAGAAGGTTTCCTCAAGCTTCTAACAAGGAGGGTTGCTAAGAAGTTTAAGTCACTCCGGAGGGTTATTTCGGAGGGTTGTTAAGACACTTAGCCTACCTCGGAGGGTTACTTCGGAGGGTACATTAATCACCCAAGTTACTTCGGAGGGTCCCCCTAAACTTATTAAGGAGGGCCAATAAGATGCTTAATATGCTCCGGAGGGTTACTTCGGAGGGTACCTCCAAAATTTTCTAATTTCTGAACCTCACTTAGAAGGGCCTTCAATTAACTTCAGGAAGCGTCAAAACAAGCTAAATTCTCTATGGGGGCTGCTCTTAACTTCTTTGGATGATCTCGTGGAAATTTTCCACTAAGGAGGGTTGCTAAGGGGTTTAGCTGACTCTGGAGGGTTACTTCGGAGGGTTCTCCATAAATCAAGAAAAAAGGTTATGTTACCGCGATAAAAACTCCAAAAGCGGTCCACCTGACTTAAAACTAGGTTGGCTGACACGGTCAACCTCCCCAGTTGGATAAAAAGGTGTTTTGATAAAATTTTCTGCCGCTCGGAGGGTTACCTGTGATTTGGACCCTCCGAACCAACAAATCCTAAAAAAAATTTCTTTTCCGAGATTATCAACCCAAAAACGATTGCGGTCCGGAAACGTGGTCTAAAGCGTCGACTTATGGTACCAAAATTATCCCAATCGGTTGGCTAGTCTTTGAGAAACTGCCAAAAACGTGTTTGTCCAAATGGGCTTTTTTCACCACCTATGTAGGTTCTGAGAAACTTTTTCCGCAATTCCTATTGAAAGTGCCTAAAAATAATTGAAACGAGCGTAGTAGCCTTGTACGGCACTGGAATAATGCAAAAAACCGGACCAAAATTGGTTTGAAGACAAAAATTTGGCCAATAACTATCAAATTTGGTCCCTCCGATTCCTTCCTTTTCTAATCCTTAAGTCGTTAGCTCTATCCACGGAGCTAATCGGAGGGGTACTCAAGAATTTTTCTGGCAGCCGAGCACGTTATGCTAGCACGCTCCTAATACAAAAATTTTTTTTGCTCTAACTCTAAAAACTCAAAAACTTGATCCCCAAAACAGATTGACAAAATTCAGAAAATTATCGAAATTTTGACCGAAAAATTTTGGTTTTTTCCAACTTTTACTGAGTCTTTTCTCACGCGGTTTCTTTAGTTAGGGGGATCGAACTACGTAGATACTCCCTATATAAAAGCTTTTTGCTGTTCGGAAAAGCTCGGATATCCAAAAATTTGGGGGTCTATAGTTTGTCAAAAATCAGTAATTTTCGACAAAACTTGGGTGTTTCTTGGGTGTAAATAGGAGATGAGTAATATATAGTGGGGACAATAATCTATTAGCAGTCGTTAATGAATATTACTATACCCTCCTTTACACCAAAATACCCGAGTTAAGACCCTTAACTCGGAAATTTGTGATCGACGGAGGGTACAATCGGACCGCGCCAATCGTGCCCCCCACCTCTTAAGTTTTAATGAAATAGTACCCGAACGATACTAAAATTGTTTCAACCATACCCAACAGTCGTTGTGGATGTTGTCCCTATATGTCCCTGTTGAGTGTGGAACACGTCGGTCAGCTTGCCACTCTACCCTCCGGTCACCGGCAAAATCACCATTAACGTGCTTTAATACTCAAATTACACTCAAGGGAGGGTATCCAACCCTTCACCAAAACACACAATCTTTCTATCAGAAATGATATTCTTTCGTGTCGACGGAAGGTTGCACTGTGCCTATCTGGCAGAATGGCACACAGAGTAGCTTTCATGGAGGAAGTCTGGACAGTGGTTCAGAGCTACGGAACCCAGTCCATTTTGAAAATAGGTCTCAACCGACCACTGATGCGGGAAGTCCTTGACAAATTCGACGAGTGTGAAGGGAGATTGAGTGAGTTGTTGATCGACTCAGCCACTGACGAAAGTGAAGCAAACTCTCCTATAAAGATGACAACGCAAGAGGATAAAGGAGAAGTTGTGTATCTGTCGAGAACTAGGAAAGGTGACATGCTCAGTGCGAGTGGGGGCTGTGATAGTGCAATTGCAGCCAGATGTTGCGTAGCCTGTTGTAGATATGCAGCCATACTACCTTCGCGGCATATATTTTTCAGAATACGCGGAAAAGTGTAGTCTTCTTGTGTACGATCAACGATGCTCCACGGAATTGAAACTTGGGGTCCCAACGTATCAGATCTTCAACGACTCCAACGAAATGACAGTTCAAGGATCCGTTGGATCTGTGGCGTTAAGCCCGGTGTTTATGACCCAGGTGCACTTGTTGATAAACTCTACTTGTGTGACATTGTCAACGTCCTTCGGAGCAGACGCACCAGATGGTTTGGCCATAATGAGCGCGCTCCCTCAGCTTCATGCATCAAAATGGCCAGTGATATGAAGATCTCCTCCCTCAAAATAAGTGGGAGACCAAGAAAGACCTGGTTAGATTGTGTGAAAAATGATATCAAGGAACGTTGCCTTACCCACACTGACCCACAAGACCGTATTTTTTGGAGAGCTGCAGTTCGACATTGCCTGGTGCTGCCAACCCCATCTGATAGGACAGGGACAGCACTATATTCAAAAATTGGATTTGATGATGATGATGATAGTACATTTCCAACTGTGCCTCGTGGCCAAAAATAAATCATTGAAAACCAAATATTTTTGTTTGGATTATTTTTTTGATAAAATTTCCTGCTCTCAGTCGCCTCTGGTTTTGGGTTCAGACTTTCATTAAGATCTGCTATGACGATCGAACAAAAAACACTACAATTCACAATTTTTTGTGATCGGATCTATCTGTGCCACTAGCAGAGCAACCGGTTACTTTGGTTTTGTCTGAATTTTGTGTTTCATGGAATTTTAGAGGAAGATAATGTGAGTACACTTTTTCTTATCTGTTTCGTTGGAATTGGCAACGTTTTGTCCGATGTTGCGATTATGATAATTAAAGTTCCAAGTGCTCACAGTCCTGAGAAGCTTGTGTTCGGATTCAATTAAGCCTACAAACTTTACATCGGTTTCGAGCTTTTTGCATTGTACTCACAAAAAAACTCGGACACAATAACATTTCAAGAACAAAAATAAGTTTTGCACTTCTGTGGAGTGGTGGAGTGCAATCCTCCGCCTCAGGGGGTGCAAAAAAACTTAAAAAACATCCAACATAGACAGGGCTGGAGCTTTCCTTTACATCTCGAGGAAAGCTCCAGCCCTGAATCAGCGTGAGGAGTACCGACAGCGCCAGCTAACTAATCTAACTGCGCTTCTAATCTATTTGTTGTTTTAACGTTTTATGTTATCTCGAATTGTGCTTTTTTCTCTGATTTTATGTGGTTTTTTATTGCTTACGATGTTTGTTGTTTTTTCTTTCAGTTGTTCTGATGATGTCTTAATTGACAAAAACGTTCAAGCGTTCATACTTTTTTTTTCTCTTATAGACAAGTCCATCTGTGCTATAATCGAGGAGGGTAGATTTTAATTGACAATTCTCTGGATGCTTTAAAATCTACTTGATTTATTCTCAAAATTTTGCCGATGTTTTTATAATGCGTTGGTATGGCCCTATCCAACCTGTGCGCGGACCGTCGGATGACGGAAGGGCCCATTTTAATTGACCCCCTTTTTTACTCACAAAAAATGGCAAGACTCAACTTCTGCACGACTACCGTGTGTTTAAACAGATATTAGACAAAAATAATGAATTTTTTTCACTGGTATCAACTCACTGTTTTCAGGCTTTTATGATAAAAAATGTGCTTGCTATGTTAAGGCGAGTGATATCCAAAGCCTCGCGAAACGTGAAGATGTTCAAGCGCATTTTTGTTATCTCAGTACTCAGCTTAGTATGGTACTACAGCCTACTTAATCTTACGGCATGTGCGTGCGTCTTATTTCTTCTCTACACTGTTTCTGGAGGATGGAAAACACTCCGAATGTTGTACAACACTTTGCCCAGAGACGCCAGGTTCTATAAGCATGCAATCAGTTATGATTCAATTTTGAGTTGAAGCCATCAATTGATGACTTTTTTTAGAGCTGCTGTTAAGCTGCTGACAGTGAAATACCGAATGAGTCGTATCCGTAAACAGAATCTTACGGTGCCCCTTCTGTTCCGCTCTTTTGTAGAGAAACACCCAGACAAAGTAATGTTCATTTGCGCAGATAAGAAGTATACATTTCGAGATGTGGACATTTTCTCAAATCAAATTGGACAGTACTTTCAACAGAAAGGATTTCAGTAAGTTCAAGGATTTAAGTATTTTTTCAGCGTTTAGTTATAACGCCGCGTGTTACAATTCCAAAACAGAGGACGACGGCTAAAAGACAGATCGTGTATATCTGTTGGTTGAGCATGCATAATCTGACGTTCTTCTCGTGATGAAAAGGCGAATTGAGTGAATATTTTAAGAACTCATGTCATGTCAGATATGGAGGTTGTTCTGTTAAACTGTTAATTCAGAACATCAAGAAAAATAACCGGTGGCTGTGCATTAGGACAGAATATTCCGACCATAATCTTAAAAAAATGATGACGCTTTCACGGTTTTTTTCTTCAAATTAGTGTTTTTTTTTGGGAATCGTGTGATAAAAGGATCTGACGAAAACCGAGAATTTAGGCTTATTCGACAGTCATGATAAAATAGGCAAGTTCAGCAACGGTTTTTGTCGAAAAAAAATTCTAAATTTTTTTAACAATTTTTTTATTGTTTTTATTGCAAAGATGGTACCAAAAAAAACCTGTTTTTCTTGATACTGGGGCAACTTTTTGAGTTGTTTTAATGTCGCTCGAATGAGGGCTGAAAAGGTTTTGATGTGATATATCACTCCACGCATTACGATGATTATTTGCGGTAAATACTTTTGGTTGAAAAACAAAATAAGCCTGCTCGCTCTTCTCAGTCGCTCGAAATTAGACCAAAAATCAAAAAATTCAAACTGGTTTTTCTCGACACTTGGTTAGTTTTTTGAAGTTGAATCACGACTGAAAGAGTTTTAATATGATATATCGCTCGACCCATTCCAATGATTATTTTTGGTACCTGACTTTGCGTGGAAAAAAACTAAAACACACCAGAAAACAAAGTTCCTCCCCATTTTCAATGGTCGGAATAACTATGGTATTAGCGTTACCGATAAACATGATACATTGAGAGTTAACTTTTTTAAAATGGCGAATCGCTTTTTTGTTTCCAAATGAAAGTGGTGTTGGAGGGATATATGCTGTGCTTTTAGGTATGGAGACGTTATTGACCTCATGATGGAATCGAGGCCCGAGTTTGTCATCATCTGGCTCGGATTAGCTAAAATAGGTTGCATCACTGCCCTTATTAACACCAATTTGCGAAATCAATCCTTAGTTCATTGCATCAAAACAGCGCAGCCCAAGGCAGTAATAGTCGGCAGCGAATATGTCGAAGGTAAGATTTAGACTTCAGAAAAACTCAAACTGATTGACTTCTTTTTTCCACTAAAAAAGCTATATTTTTCAGTGGTCGACGTGATTCGAAACGAGCTTAGTGACGACTACTCCTATTATTACTCGGGTCCCCAGTTAGACGAAAACAGGCAGCCAAATTGCATGACATATCTGGACGAAGATATTGCTAAGTGCCAAAGCAACGCTCCCGTAGTGCCTTCCCAAGCAAAACCTACAGGTAGCTGACTTTTATATTCTATTTGTGACTAAGTCAATTGAAACCCTTCAAATATGTTTGCAAGAATTTAAAATCTTTAATTATGAAATAGTTTGTTTATTCAGCGGTCTTAGAAGGTTAGTACTTAAAAAATGTTAAAAATTGTAGTTTTTAGTTCAAAAAGTTATTGACTGATCCCAATTTCTCTCCGAAGAATCAAACAGACAGTTTTTACGTTATTTTTTACCTGCCGTGCGTTAACCTCCGCATGATTTTATGTGATGCTGAAGCGATTTCGATGAAAATGATACGTTTGCGACTAGCAAACGTATTGTTGGTGTTTTTATTAAAAATCGTTTTTAAACTGTTTTCCTTTTACTTTTACTGTTTTCGTTCAGATGTTTTTATATAGATGGGGGAAATTCTGACATAGTGTAGACTTTTTCGGCGCAGTTTGGCTGTTCTGAGGATTCTGATTGAAGTGCTCGACCTGAACAATCTGATTTCTTGGTAATGGTAATTTTAGATTCTACCTTTCAAAATTATTTAAATGCAGTTAATTGCAATTTTTACACTAGCGAACTTTAGTGAGAGTAGTGTAATAATGCGACTATTCTTTTTTCTAATCTAAGCCGCAAATTTTGTTGCCACTTTTACGGCTTTTTGATAGTATGCGCTCTGACATTCAACTGGTGGTAAGTTAACACAGTTGCTGCTTTATTTGTGACTAGTGTTTGCCGATTGTTACGCGTTTGTGGCCGAAAGGGCAGGGCGTGATAGTCCAAATTTCGAGGTCGCAGGTTCAAATCCGATACGTAGCAAAGTTTCACGAATTCGAGGCTTCTTTTCTTATTTCACTTGATAAAGCTGCTTTTGTCGTGTTATCGCTAGTGTTTCCGAAGTGCAGCTTCGCCTCTGAGTGAATATTTGTCAGACTGTTTTTCACGTGCTGTGGGTTTTTCCTGTTCAATCTTTTAGTTTTGCAATCAGATAAAAATTAGTTTCTGGGGTTCTCATTTCAAATTCGACTGAATGAAAAACGGATCTCCTAATTTTGATCTCAAGTAATGAATTGCGATATTTGTTCGTCTTCTGTCGGAAGTTATGCGAAGCTCCGTTTTATCTCCGAGTACAAGCTACAGATAAGGTTAGAAATGCCGCTAAGTTTTCTCGAGGAAGCGAAAACTAATGGTGATCACAAAAAATTCGTGGCTTGTGTTACTTTACTGCTCACTAAATTAGTAAGCATAATTTGAGTGTTCTTAACTGGGCGTTTTCATTTCTGGCTCGAGTTCTTCCGCAGTTCTACACGATTTTCTCTATCGAATTGTTTTTGTTGTTATTTAGCGTTTTTGTTTCAGACAACCTTATTTACATCTACACGTCTGGCACTACGGGACTGCCGAAAGCAGCAGTCATTTCTCACTTCAGGTAATATTTTCACATATTTCAATTGTAGCTGTCATACCTTTGAAGAAAACAGGCTTCTAACCAGGTCACCCCACCCGCCCGACAGTCTTCACGGATAACCCTGAAACCGAAACTTTAAAGTCGGGCTAGTTTTATGCGCCTTGATGTTAGGATAGTTCAGCTCAGTTAAAATAGTAGCCTCTCTTCACTAGAATCGTGACAGATGATGTTGCTATATTTTTTGGTGTCTTCGAGCTTTAAAAATCAATGAAGCTACGCAATTCCAACTTTATGCACATGAGCTTACTGTAAAATCTACCCTTTGTTGTCTAATTTCAGCTTTGAGAGCTATAAAGTTAGTCTAATGTTGTGCTGACTGAATATTTCAACTAACAATGTCAAGGTCGAAGCGAAGTTTTGTGTCATAAATTGGCTGACATGGCACGTTTAGATTTGCATATCTGCTGCATATAAGCAGTGGATTATGGGGTGTCAGGAAAACTGACGTGTTTTACGTGCCCCTGCCCATTTACCATTCTTCTGGAGGTTTGTAGAAGCTCTTCTGAGAAACAAAGCTGACCTCAAAGCTAAACATTCTCGTCTGTCGACTATTAAGTTGCTAACAAATTAAAGCTATGTTTCAATTGTATCAAAACTGGTAATTCATTGCGTGTTACATTGATTTGAGCATGCAATATTGGTGAATATTTCTGTGTTTTTGTTACGCGTATCTTGATTTTTACGATAAATATGGGAGTGAATCGGAAAGTTTAAAGCATTCGAAAGTTGCATCTACATTGAAGCAGACTTAAATTCGCTAGCAACTAATAATGAAGTAGGTGATTGACGAATGTCAATTTATGAATAATTGTGAGTCGAATTGATTCAATTGCAAACAAATAACATGGTCCCATTTGGCCTAAAATGACCACTCTGCCTATTCTGATCTTAGCAAACACCAGTTTCTTTCAGGACCAAGCTTAACACCTTCATTTCTTATCATCTGTACGACAATTCCTTAGCTCTACACTTCTATCTCCTGATTAGCTTACCAGAATTTTAAAGTGAAATCAAGTAAAGTTTATTTTTTTGGGCAGATAAATTGTCGATTGCTGCTGGTGGCGTTTTTTGTGTTCCTTGAGTTTTTGACGGTACAAATTTTTCTTTTTGAAATTTATTTCGTAAGTTGGTTGTAAGTTTACCAACCACAATTTCAGTTCTTTTGTTTTTCCTTTTCTATTTTTCCGCCTTAGCAGGTATCGGATGATGGTAGGTCAGCGTTGTTGCCTTATATTTAATAATTTGAAGAGCGTGCTTGAAAGTTTTTTTTTGATTTTTTGTTTCAAATTATTTTTTGCTGCTCAGCGGGTGTCTGCTCAAGTACTGACGTGTCTTATTGGGCATTTTTTTCTCAAAATGATTTAAACAAGACAAATTAAACTTCGGTAGGCCTTTTTTATTCCGCCATCTCGTCTTCCGTCTATTTTTTTGCCGGGTAGTGTGCCTGTTATGTCTGTGTTGTATGGAAGTTGGTGCAAAGCTTCGCTTCATCTCTAGGTATGAAATGCAATTCCAGAAGTATCTAAATGGCGCAAAAAACATGCATGACTTCTAGTTTCAAAAGTGGGCTGTATTTTCCCAGCGGAATAAAACAACTATCTGTTGATCCGGACTTTCGACCATTTGCTGGTTGGCAACGTTGTAGAATTTTTAGTTTGAATTTTTTCCAACTGCCTATTGGCTAGGTTGGAGAATTTTATTACTCTTGCGATAAGCAAGGTTATTGAAATCGGGTACAATACTTTTTTCCCGTAAACAAATTTGTCCACAGGATCACTTCTAGAGGATTTCCTCTTCAAGAGGATCTCTTCTAGAGGTTCTTCGCTTCTTAAGTGCAATTTTTTACTTTTTCACTTCTTAAGTGCAAGATCTTTACTTCTTAATCTGCAAGTGCAAGTGTTGTTCAATTTAGTTTCACGGGGACTTGAGACGTTTAGTTTTTTTTCTAAAATCATTGTTTTTTTTCGGTTCAGCCGGTGTCTGCTGAAAGATTGTCGGCTTAGTTCAGCTTACTTACCCTATTATGGATTTTTTGTCGTGCTGTAAGCAATTTCCATTGTAGTTGCAAGTGCAATATTGTTCATTGTAGTTCCAGGTGGGACTCAAAACTTGAAGTAGTTTTTTTTTAAATCCTTCATTTTTGGCTCAACTTGTGTCTCCTCAAAAATTGTCGGCTTTGTTTCTTCTTCATGAGCTTTGTTCCGTTGCTAATTCAATATTCAAATGTCTGGCTTGTTTGCTTAGAGTTAACTTCCAACGAGAAAATTTAAATTTTGGCAGACCTATTTTTTTCAACTTGAAAAAATTCGTCTTATGGTTTTTTAATGTTTGTGTTGTATCGCAAGTGTTGTGGAACTCGGCTTCGCCTCTCTGTAAAAACTTGCATCATAGGTTCTTTTGAAAATGAAGGGTGATTAACGAGTGTAATGCAATCGGATGCTAGGCCTTCTTCCCTGATTAACTTTGTTCACAGGACTGATTTCCTGCAGGCCTCGCCCAGGACTCATCTGCTGGAGACCTCTATTGAAGTTACTACATCAGATACTTTCTTTTTCGAGCTGGTTTGCGTTTTGAAAACACGTTCTATATATACTTGCGATCAGCTTAGTGTGTTATTACGAACCTTCTTTTTTTCTAGCCTAACTCGCAAATAAAAGTGTTCACTTATTTGAAATTTTCACTGTAGCATTGGAAATTGCATAGCATATATTCTCGCTTTTCTTGTGGCTAGTTTATAGCGGATATTAAGCTGCCATTGCTGAGTGTTTAGTGTGTGGGCTTCTTAATCTCTTGGTCGCCGGCTTGAATCTCAGAGGCTTAATGTTTACTAATTCGAGGCTTATTTCTAATTTTTATTGAACTTTATAGAGCTTCTTTTTGTCGTTTTCTTGCAACTGTTTGCGAAATGAAGCTTCGCCTCTTTGTCAAAATTTGTTTGTGTATCATGGCGTTTTTGTAGTGTCTCTTTTTTCAAAAAGTTTCCGGCTTTATAAGTTCCGTCATATCGACTTTGTTGCCTCTGATTGCGTCATTCTTGGGCTACTAGTTATTAGTTTTTACTGAGGAGTTAACAGTTTCAGTTTTTAAGTAGTTCAATTGTGTATAGGTCTTGGTGATTTTTCTTTCAGCAGGAAACAGTCCTAAAATTTGTTCACGCTCAAGTTTGATTTTTTTTGCTGTTTGACTTTTGATTTCTTTTCATGTTCAATTCATTTCCCTTGTCAAAAGGAAAGCAAACTCCCCTCGAAGAGCCAAAGTGTTTTTGTAACGATCACGAAAAACGTGATCGACTTCTAGTTTCGAAACTGGATTTTGATTTTCCATCGGAATAAAAAATTTAACCATTGATATGTTTTTCTCCAATTGGGTTAATGTTAACAAAAAAGTGACAATCATTAACATTGATTGAAATTGAAAGAGTTTTAAGAGCATGTTTTTTGTAAGAGCTGTGAAATATGAAAATTGAAGTTAAAAAAAAACAAGTCGGTTTTTTTTCTGTTTCCTTGCGTTCTTGATATTTTTCCAACTGAATGTTGGCTTTGCTTTTATACCATCTGAAAGATATTGATACCCTGAGCTGAAAAACTGTTTTAGTAGCAAATATTTTTTCTAAAGTTATCGTTGTGTGGTAATTCTCAATATCGGATAATTAGATTATTCTATATGTTTCTTTTAACGCTTGAACGGAAATTTAATCCGGCTAAGAGACCATTTCAGTTAAATTGAGGCAAGCTATTTGGACTTAGGAATGAGCTACTAAGAGAAAAGTATTTCATTTTGCGCTTAACATGGCGTATTGGTGGAATTTCTCAAAGAAACAACCTGAAAAAAAAATGTTTTTTTTCTTATAATTAAATTTTTATCAACTATTTGGTCTAAATTTTAAATGAATTGTGGAAGTAAACCAAGACTCGATTTGTCTCTAATCACTATATCAACAATTTAGATTGTACATGCAAATTTTAACTTCGCTTCTGTGTAAAAAATGCCGATAATAAACTCTCAAAAAATATAGTAAAAACATATGAAATTGTAAATATATTTGAGTTCATAGAGTGATGAAATGAGGTCACTTTGTTTCCAGCAAATTTTAAACAATAGCTGAGTTTTGAGAAGTTTTCCAAATACCTGTTGGTTCTGTTTGTGGTTGTTTTCGGACTTATTTTTCCATACTGACTTCTCTTGGCTGACTTTCCTCTTGATTTTTACCCTGTTTTGTCGACTGATATATATGATCTGTAACTATGCACTGATTAAAATGATACGAGATAATGAATAACATTTTCAACAGATTTTTGATTAACATATGAGCTTGTTTTAATAGAGGGATTGCTTGCTAAAATGTTTGCTCAAAAATCATTAAAACAGTAATGATGGGGCTTTTTCTGTCAAATGTTTTCAAAAGGGTAAGTCGATTTTTAGACCGAAAAGTTAAAATGGAAAATACGCAATTTGGAATGAAAAATGACTGATTGATTCAATTGTATCATATAAGCTTTGTCTATTTACAAAGTTTGAATCATAATAGATACTACCATAAGAGCTATAGCGTGATTTTTTAGCCTCCAAAGTTTAAAATAATAAAAAAACTTAATAATCGTAATAATATTAATTAATTGTAATAATCGATTCTATTAATCAGGAATTAGATATTTTTCAGTAAAAAACTTTTTTTTACAAATATGTATAAATCTTTTTGACTTCATCTGTCAGAGTCTTCATAATATATATTTCGAGTTCTTTTGCCATCCTAAATGCCCTTTCTATTCGAAATTTGTTTTTTGTTGTTGTTAAGAGTAATGAACGTAGTGAATACTGTTATATATGTCTTGGTGATTTTTTGCCGGAAAAATTCTTTATATTTGTTCACGTTTAGTTTTTTTTTTGCTGTTCGACTTGTGATTTCTTTGTTATTTCAGTTCATTTCTTTTAATAAAAGAAAGCAAACGCCACTATCGAACAGCAAAAGTGTACAGGTCACGAAAAACGTGATCGACTTTTAGTTTCGAAAGTGGAATTTAGTTATCAAATTTCCCAGCGGAATTGAAAATTTACCTATTGATCCAGTTTTTTCAAATTGGGTTAATTTGTTCAGAAAAGCACCAATCATAAATGGTCCTTGAAATTCAAAGAGCTTTAAAAGCATATATTGTTTTCTTTAAAATTCAAAACTTGAAGTTTGATCAAAAGTTAAGTTAGTTTTCTTCTTTCCATGCGTTTATTTCTTTTTTCCAGCTGTCAGTTGGCTATGTTTGTTAATTTACCAACTTTTTCTAATTCTCCGTTTTTTTTCACATATAAGTATTATGTGGCTCAACGGTTTGGACTTATGTTATATCGGCTCAGTGGCCTAATATCCTGTCGCTTGAAGAGAGAAAATAGATTTTTTTATGTGCGTGTGTGCTTCAGGGGACCTTAAAATCAAGGTTTTCAATTTTTGTATGCATCAAAAATCTTAAGACTGTTTTTTTTTTAGTGTTGCAACG